AAAAACAGCTCTAATTTTGTTTTTTAAAAATATATAAGTATATTTACCTGCCGGATTATAAGTGTACAGTTCTGTTCCAGTAATGAAAGAACACAATTACTGACCCCAGGAAGCCCCCTCCTCTCCCTGCATTCCATTCCTTCTTAGGTTCCTTTAGATTGACTGTTTCTCAAATTCTCATCACCAAAGTAGCTCCTAGAGATACAGATTCTCATTTGTTTCCTGGTTCTTTTCAATTAGGAAGTTAGAGGCTGCCTACATTCCCAGTCAGCAGGGCCAGCAATGTAAGAGAACACAGTGAAATGTTGGGACCTCATTTAAAAGTACTGAAAATTGGGGTCCTTTAAAGCAAGGAACTCTGTATGATGAAGCAGGTCACATGCACAGGAGCTGGTCCTGCTGGCTGGTGACCACCACACTCATACTATAAGTGTTTAGGAAACATGTATCTGACAGAAAGCAGAAAGCTCAAAGCTGGGACTCTCAAAAGAGCACTTTGTACATGGGAACCTGGGATTCCACCTCTTTGATGATCCACAATAATCTCCTGGTCAGGCCTCCAGGGGGTGGTGGTGAGTTTGTGAAATTATTCAAAGCAGGCTGAGCAGCCCCATCCTGGCTAACTTAACTAGGTCTCAGTGAAGGCAAGAAATGAACTTTATACTCTCACCAGGCTAAAGGTAAGAAAGGAAGAATTCTAGAGTTTGAAGACTACAGAAGTGTGTACGTTTGGGAGGGGGGGGGTGCGTACACACACACACAACTGTGTTTTCTCTACTTCATCTCTTCTCTTCTTTCCTTAAAGAATTCAGCCTGTGGCCACTAGAGGTCTATTCTTTTCACATGGTAGCTGCTGTGCAGTTTGTTCGGCTTTTTATTTATTCCTACGTGAGCAGACCCACTACACTTCTTGCATATGAACAGTGAATATTACAACATAAAGGGTTTCTTTTTCCTTCGTTTGGAGTTATTTTGCTGCTGGTAGAAACCTGGCTCATTGTGCAAGGAAGGAGGGGACATCCTCTGCAGGTAATTCCACTGCTTTGAGGTAAGAGACATGCGAAGGTTTGATTCTGTGTGTGTGATCGATGATCTTGGAGAAGAAAATGCTGTCATCTCTTGGACAACAGTTTACTTTGAAAGCTTTGGCTTAAATGAGAGCTGGGATTGTGAGCTTGTGTGGGTGTGGGTGGCAGTGTGTGATGAAAATCCACCATTGTCAGAACTGCAGGCTGCCCCAAATGCACAGATACGGAATGCTTGTTATTTCCAATGGCTTGATTTGAATCGGAAGGGGAGAAAAAATGCATAAAAACAAACCCTAGAGCTTAAGTTTCTTGGAATTGCCTTGAAAAGACTGTGTTCTCTTAAGCTTTGTTTAAAGAAACTTCTCTGTTGGGTTTTTCTTTAATGAAAAAAGAGACGTTTTCTATTCCTCATTAGAGTGACTGTTTTATGAAAGAAACCATTATCGTATTATTAAAAGTCAGTGTGTTGGAGTTCACAGATCAATCACAATTACTTTTGCCAGCTTGGTAAATTTCTTTGTCCTGAACTGCACATAGAAAAGCCCAGCTGGGTGCCTTGTAGTAAGATTTGTAGTGCACTGTGACTGAAGTTTGGACAAGTTACCTGCATTTGCCTGTTAATCCAAAACGACCATATTTTACTTCCAACTGGAAGCATCCTGGTTTCCCAGCACTGTGCCTAGAGCACTTTGGTATCCAGTCCTTTGGAGATCACACAGATGTGACCCATGGATACCTGAAATGGAGCGACATGCCAGCAGCAGGTCACCAAAGGCTTTTCTCTGTCATTTGATTGAATATACACACACGCTTTGTCAAGCAATCAGAGAATGATGGGGTCACATTGTGCTTCTCTGATGGATAGCCCTTTTCCAATAGTGTCTTCAAAATGGCAATTGTGTCTTAGCCTCTCCCTTTCCACAAGTTTGAGATAATTTCATATCTACCATGTTTTATATGCTTAAAGGAATTGGGCTGAGAGTGACAGACTGCATTTGCCCTAGCCACTGACACAGTCCCAACATTGATAATGCTCAAACTTTATAGCATAAGAGTTCCAACTCCCAGCTCCACCAGCAATGTGGAAAAACCTCAATGCTGCATGGATTACTCGAGGGTAGTGGGATCCCCCGTAGCCTGGGCTAATCAGAACTCCCCTCTTCTTACTCCTGGCAGAAATTCTATAATCAACATATATTTACTACAAGGCATGAGGCAGCCACTCATCCATACCCAAGCAGCATGCCAGGTGTCTAGATAGGAAATTGCTTCTTAAAACAGAATAGCAGCAGGACTTGCATATTAAATCCCAGAGGGAAATTGAATTCGAGACTCTGGTGCAAACCAGGCAGAGTCACCTCGCTCCAATTGGGTAGAGTTTAAAATGTGGCTAATGAATCACAGCATGAAGAGACACAGTTTGAAACTAGGTCAAACGTGTAAAAATAAGTACAGTCATTGCAGGCACTTGGCTGATGAGGGGCTACTTGAAGCCATGAGTGGCACATAGCACCCTCTTGGTGATTCAAGACAATCAATTCTTTTAATTAAGTCAGCCCATCAGCATGCTCAGAGGTCTTGCACATCTGGGAGAGAACTGAGGCTTTAAGGGAAAACAGTCAGGGTCTCTTTACTGTGTCTTGGCAGGAGAAGAGGAGAAAACTGATAGTGTGTGTGCAACATCCATTAGTGGAGATACTGGATGATTTCAGCTCAGGTAGGAGCCCTCCCCAAATCAGTGCCCTGGCTCCTTTGCATTAAAAGTCACCATCGTATTATTATTATTATTATTATTATTATTATTATCATTATTATTGAAGATGCTGATAGTTCTGCATACAATATTCAACTTAATCATTTCGATTTAACAACCTTTAATGCAAACACACTTACATACACAGTCAGGACTCCTGCAGGGCCCAGTGAACTGAGGAAGAAACTATCATTTTCTCTGTCTTGGAGAACAAACAAAATAGGGAGAGGGGTTTGGCTGCTGGGAGGCCTCCCCCACTCACCTGAGATTAGTGGGAAAAATGAGATCGCAGAGGGAGGGAAGCAGCCAGCTCCGGGAGCTCGCTACCTAAATGCCAACATTACTATGCGATACCAGCTGGTGACATGTTGCTATAGTAACTTCAAATAATGTGCATGACCAAAATAAAATAAAATATAGAAAGCACCAAGGAGAGGAGATGAAGGAAAGTTTGAACGCTAGGGGAAGCTTAGAGGGAGATGAAAAGTTCTTTCTACGAGCCATACTTTGGAGACTAAGAGTGGTCCAATGTCACTCTCAGGCTGCTTCCCTGTTCACCCCATGTCTGCCTTGTGCTTATGTAACAGATTTTATTCTTGGACTAAACTAGTGCTGTCTGTATGGTGGATCCAGGGCTGGAGGTGGGAGGCTATGGTGTCAGGAAAAGCACGAGCTCTGAAATCCATTCATCTCAGAGCTGTCAGGGCACTGGGAGTTGTAATTTGGAGCAATCTTTGGAGCAGCTGAGGTGTGGTGTGTGTTCTCTTGTAGCAACTGCCAAGTCTTGGGTGCAGTGCAGGGTGTCAGGGGTGCAGCAAGGTGGCCAAGGCTGTGCTCTGAGGAGCCTACATCTGATGCTGCCAGAATGTAAAGCTAAGAGCAGGGGCCTGGGAGCCAGGCAGTCAGGGCTCAGATCTCAGCTCTCTACCTTTAACTAGTCTTATGACCTTGAGCAGACTCTTGTCCCTTACTTGCCTCATCAGTCCAAGAAGACCAAAAAAGGAGAAAAATCCCTCATTTAATATGGAGAAGAAAGGATTAAATTCATTTGTGTATGGGACCTTGAATGCAGAAAGCTTTCAATAAATATCTATTATTATTGTCATTTTGTTGTTTGGGTCCAGAAAAACTATGCAGATTAGCTAGTTAAAAGTCCCAACCTGCAGAGAGGAAATGATGATTTTTGTCTTCCAATAACTGACAGTACACATACCAAGCGTGCCCCATCAAAGCTTGGCACCTACAGCTCAGTGCCCTTCAACTCTGAGCAGCCTTTGGTTAACATGTCTCAAGTCCAACTGTTTAGTAAATGGAGTATGTGCCTCTTGGAATAGAGCATGCTGGGAGATTTCTTTTAGTTGGGGACAGCTGCTGGAAGGTAGGAAAAATGACTACAGTACCCAAATTGTTCACAAGCATTTGATACAATGTATATGTGGAAAATTAAATCGCCCCTGCTGTTTGGCTTTAGAGGCACCTGTCTTTCTGTGCCTGTCACTGTGCCACCAGTCCTGCTGTATGGCTGTATGGTAGAGTAAATCCAATCCCTTTCCTTCTTCAGAAAGTGGCTTGATGAGCACAGGTCCAGGTGTCTTGTGTGATCTGCTCCATGTCACGGGCAGAACATCATGGGAGAACAGAGAGGTACCGCCTGGATGCTGTGGCACTGGCTGCATCCTAGTATGACCCATCTCTACAACATGGTGACTTCAGGAGGGTTGGAGGTGTGCACCCTGCCTGACACTGTGGATGTTAATGATAAATCAGCTCTCTAGATAAACCAGGGCCAGAACTGCAGGCAGTGTCTCCTCAGTGAGTGATCTTTACTGACAAGGAATGGGGGGAGTCCTGACAAGGCTGCTTTGAACCACGGCTGGAAGAGGAGCCGGTATTTGTCACACACTCTTCCCTTGAAACTAACACTGCTGATCCTGGTTGGAGCCTAGGTCTGCTTATGAGAGCACATTAAATTTTCCACAGGGGGCTTTGGGGTGTTTTAGCACAAGGGAAGGTGGGAGGAAAGCAGATCCCATTCGTTCATTCGTTCATTCCTTGTTCCTAGGGATCTATGTTGATCATCTCCCAAGACTCCCCAGACTTCACATGCAGTCAACCTTATAAGGCCATTTTACAGATGAGGAGAGAGGCACGACCTGCCTTGACAGACATTTAGTATGTGGTGGCATAGGAATTACACTCTGTATATTTTCACAGATCTACTGCACCTTCTGTGTCGGCGCCGTCCAGCAGAGAACAGCTTTCCTTTATTCACGGTTGTGTTGCGAGGATCTAAAATTGAACTTGCATATTTCATGAGATCAATAAATATTGATAGAGATTGAGGTAATCATAGCTTTCCCTATCTCTAAAACAATATTACGGGGACCCTCCTTCATAAACTGGAAAATTAGAGTCATGCACTAATCATCTTTGACTTAGCAGAAGCCAGAAAGCCAAGAATTTTTGTCCTAACTTGGTCATTCTATCAAGTCCAAATGAGGTGACCCTTTAACGTATTCCTTGATTCAACAAGTATTTCTTGAGCATCTACTATGTGCCAGGTATGGTTCTAGGTGCTAGAGTTACAGCCCTGAACAGAATTATCAAAGGGATTACTCTTAAGCTCTCAACCCTGGGTGGGTAAAGCTGGAAACAGGAAGACATACCTTTAATAAGCCAACACGAGATCATTTTATACAGTGGTTTGTGCTATTAATGAAATATTAGAAGACAGTGGGTGGTAAGACGGGAGGTGACCTACATTGGACTGAGTGGACAGTGGTAGCCTCTTGGAGCTGATGTTTGAGGGAGAATCTGAATGAAGGGAATGGACATGCAAGAATCTAGAACAGCATTGAGGGGGCAAGTGAAGATGCAAAGACCCTGGGGATGGGTTTGGGGAGTCTGATGAATGAAGGCCAGGAGGATTAGAACCCATGAAGATGGGAAGGGAAAGCATAAAGTGAGGTCAGAAAGGCAGGCAGGGGCTAGATTCCAAAGGCCCATGAGGATCAGGAACAAGAGTTTGGATTTTCTCCTAGTGTAACTGGAAACTCTCAATTTGGGTTTTAACAAGCTTGTTCCAGCTACTATAGGCCACAAGGCCCATGTTTCAGCAGCAGTTTCCATGTCTTACATATAATCCCATTTCCAAGAAGCTACTCAAATGCTGATTCCAGGGTCATGGAATCATCAACCTGTAAATGATGTTTTAAGCACTGGCCCTTCCTGGTTCCTGGTGTTGTCCCTCAGTCCTTAGCAAGTGTT